GATGGCGCGCAGCTCTTCCTCCGTGAGGCGCTCGGCCTCGTCGAGGGCGGAGCCCGAGTAGAGCACCGCGTCCTTGACGAAGATGCTCACGGCGCGAAGCATGAAGGACAGGAACAGGTGCATGTGGATGTAGTTGCGTGTGCAGTGCAGTTTTCTGTGCAGGGAGAGAACCGAGTGCCTTCCCTCAGCAAAGCCTGGCTCAGCCCGACAGGCCTGTGCGGGCACCGGCGGGTCTGTCGCTAAGGGGGGGAGGTTCAGAGCGCAGGCTCCCGAGTTGGCGGCCTGGCCTATGAGACCTATTCCCTGTGACTCGCTTTCCTCACCTGTAAGATGGGGATAACAATAGCTAACCCCTAGGGAGCACGGTCAGCATGCCGCCCCGTCCCAGGCCCTTACAGGCGGGGAGGGACTTATGGGCATCCTGGCTCCTTACAAGCACTGGGGGAGCAGGCCGTGCTGTCGCCCTGGTTTTACAGCTGGGGAGGGCGAGGCAGAGAGGTTAGGTCACCTGGCCAAAGTCACGGAGCGGCAAGTGGTAGAGCTGAGATTTGAACCCAGAAACTCTAAGGCCAAAATATGGCTCTTCGAGGCTCTACTGCCTGTAAGAACAAGAGAGCTTACCTCAGAGGGCTGCGGGAGGACTCGGGCAGTGAGTGGGCGAGAAGAGCTCACACAGCACTGGGCACGTAATAAATGCCCAGCACATGCCAGCTCTCCAGCCCCTGCCTCACCCACCCGGAGCCCCCCGCGGTCTGGGCCTTGGCCTTGTCCTGGCCGATGTAAACACGAGTCCTCAGTCTTGCCCATCACTCCGCTCTGGGCCCTGCCTGGGCCTGTGCGGCACACACCCCGCCCTGCCTTGCTTTAGAGCTATTCTTTTTCATCTAGAAGAGAGATTTGAAGCAGTCCTTGTGTTTTACCATTTAGATTTGAAGCAGTCCTTGTGTTTTACCATCTATGCACCCTTCTCCCTAACTACACTGGGGGCTACTCAAGGGCAGGGACTGGGCCCTGCTCTACCCCAGTGCCTGAGGCAAAACAGACCCTTGATTGGCCCAGGTTCTGCTAAAGTTCCTTCCTGCAGGGCCGGGCACGTGTCTCCTCCTGGCTTAGTTCTGAGATGTTGGGAGGGGGAGTGGAGGCAGTCACAGAGAGCAGGCTGGCTGTGCAATTGTCCCATTGTTCAAAAATTGCTCTCGCACTGGGGCAGATGGTTACAACTCTGCTCCAGGAGCCATAGACCATCCTGAGATTAAGGGTCAGGGAGGGCCAGACCTGGGGTTAGAAGAGCCCAGGTGGGGAGCTGCTTTGGAGCTAGCATCCANGCCCCGCCCCCCACCTGAAGTAGGCCAGGATGAGCACAGCCACGGTGAGGGAGGCCAGCGAGACGGAGTAGCCCACGGTGTAGATCATGCCCAGGCGGTCAAACACCTCCTGCGCAGGTGGGGAGACACCAGGGTAAGGGGCAGGGGCCAGGTGAAGGTCGCTGGAGAAGTCAGGCCTAGGTCAGGGGTCACCCAGGGTGCGGGGTCGCCGCATCCGGGCCAGGCTGGGGACGGGGAAGGCTCACCCGCTCCCGGGTCTCGTTGGTCAGGAACTTGACGCACTCGCTGTAGTTGGCCCAGGTCCGGTTGTGCCCCGGCACCAGCTCCCAGCTGCCATTGCGGTCACAGCGACGGTAGGCATGGCCTGCAGGTCCGTGGGAGGGTCAGGGCGACCTCCAACCCTGGTCTGCCCGCGGACCCCACCCTCTTCCAGCCTGCCTTACCTTTGTGATTGAAGTCGTAAATGTAGTCCGGACAGGGCACGGCCACCACCTCGCCTGGTGCCCCCAGCGGCCAGCACAGGATGTGGTCCCACTCGGGCAGGCAGGGGCGCCCTGTGCCCACAGAGACAGACAGGGTGGAGATAGATACCAGTCAGGTCCATGCTTAGTGACCCAGAGGGGTGAATACACCTTGGTCACCGGGTCCCTCAGGGACAGCTGCACCCCAGGACTGGAGAGCTCAGGCCTGGAGTGCTTTGGGGAGACTGTACTGAGCTCTTACTCCCTACTGTGCCGGGCATCCACCTGGCCTCATAGAACTCACTGCAGCCCCTGTATGCACCGGCCCTGAGGCTGGCAGAGGCCAAGAGAGGTGAGTGATTTGCACAGGTCAGATAGCCCAAGCCCTGCCCCTCAAGTGCTTGGCCCCTGGCAAGGCCTCTCTTTTTTCTCTCTGCTCTTGGTCCCACCTTCCAGGCATCCCTGGAGAAGGGCAAGTTTCCCGACTAACTCCCTCAGCTGAGAATGCTTCCTATGCGACCCTTCCCTGGGGACCATTGACAGGAGGCAGGTCTAACTTCCAGTGCCAGCTGGACTCCCAAAGAGCGGCTGACCTCATGTGGGTGCCCACCCTCTTTGTACTTCAGTTTCTTCACTGGGAAGTTGGCATTGACCATATCAGCCCTGCTCCCACCACCATCCAAGGCCCGCCTGGAGCACCTGCTGTGAGACTCCAGCAGCAGACAGACGGACACTTGGACACTCGTTGGGGAGAGGTAATCTAAGTGCTCATTATGGATTCCAGGCAGGGTGACACATTCCATTGTGGGGCTCCTCTGTGCTATGTGACCTCGGAGGGTCCTCAGTTTCTGAATCTTCCACTCTCTGCCCCCCAGCTCTCTTCTTTTCTCCTGTGCGGCTCCAGCCACAGGACTCTCCAGCCACTCTGGAAGGCTGCCTGGATGGCTGGACCCACCCCAGCTTGGTGAAAGGCTCTCTGTCCTGGGCACCATATCCCCAGCCCCGCCTGGCCAGGCCCACAATTCCCTCTGGTCCCTGGGGAGCCACAGGGTGACCACAGCCTCCCAGATGTGGCCCATCTGGAATCTGCTGCCCACCCAGCCGGTTCAAACCGGCCCTGTGGCTACAGCTTGGGCTCTGCGTTTGTCTCTTCTTACCTCCCTGGGGGACAATGCAGCCCTGCCCCTCCCTCCCTCTCTTCTTTTCTCCCCTCTTTGTCCCACTGTCTCCAGCTCCACTCTCCTCTCCGTAGTCTCTTATGCCCACCTCACTGTGTCTTGGTGCACCCTCCTCCAATATACTCAGTCCCAGTCCCTGTCCCAGTCCCGGTCTGAACCTCCTGGTCCCCTTTCTGTCTCTCCCTGCCTCTTTATCTCAGTCTCTCTCTCTCTGTGTCCCTGGGTCTTTCCCAGTCTCTCCCTGCCTCTGTACCCTTCTCTGCCCCCTCGTCTCCCAGCTTCTCCATCACCTCTCTCCATGGAAGGGTCTGTAGCCCTCGGTCCTCCCCACCCCTGGAATGGTGCAGGGCAAATTCTCTGCCCACATCTCCTGGGGGCTGAGCCCATCAGCTTGCTTGCTTCTTCTGCCCCTTGCCCCCTTGGCTATGTCTCCTCCCAGCCCCTCCCCTGCTTTCCTGGGAGAGGCAGCACCCTCTGCTTTTCCACGAGCGCCCAGGAGCCTGAGCTCACGGGAAGGGGACAGGGCAGTGGGGCCGGCGGCCTGAGACGGCCAGCCTCCGATGGAAGCGTGGACCTACCTTGGCGCCTGCTGCCAGTGGGAGCCTCTTTGTCTTCCTCAGATTCAGGGTAGAGCTTCCCGGATGCCTTCTCTTTCCTGGGCTTCCCTGATGTGGACGCAGATGCCCATCCTTTGTCCGATTCCATTATGTCAGCTGGAGAAATCAGGGCAGTTATGGTTGTCAGCTGTGCTACAGCAGGAGACCCAGGGCACCCTCCTGCCTCGCACTCCCTGGTTGTACAACGGGGGTCGTGCCCTGCCCTGCTGACACCCCAACTGTTGGGAGAGCTGAGATGACAGATGAAGAAGTGCTTTACAAACTGTTAAATGCTTGCCAGGTGCAGAAGTAATCAAAGGGATGGAGACTATCAAAGAGGGTTCAAATGGGAGCCAACACCATGCAGTGTGGGATAGACTAGAGGGTTAGGCCGTAAATGTGGGCAACACGTGGGTACAGGTGGCGGCCTCGGGCCCAGAGTGAGCCCACATCTCCTGCGAAGGCCCCACCAGGGGGCGCATGGCAAAAGCAGACATTAGCTGTGATGTCAACAGAGGTTACACAGTGAAAATGAAGCCCCGCCAGAGCACTGGGCAGGTCAAAAAGATGCTGGCGTGGAACAGCTGTGCCTGTTTCCCTGCCTGCACCCCTGGGCATCAGTAGGATGGGGGGAGCAGAATGGGGTGAAGTGGGAAGAGAGGGCTGGATCATGAACTGAGGGTATAGAAGGAGGTGCCTCCAGGCTCCCACAACTAGGAAGAAGGCTGGGTTCAGGACCCAGCATGAGGAGGGCCCATCTGACCCCCGAGACCCTGGTGTGACTGGGCAGAGGACTGGGGAGCCATGGGTGGGAATGATGTGGGTGAGAGACCCTGTGAATCCCTGTGAGTGTGAGAAAAGCCTGTGTGCTGCACAGTTGTGTTCGATCTGGTCCTGGGTGTGCCCCAGCATCCTCCCCTGCGGTCTCAGGGCCAGCTCAGGCAGGACGCTGCTCTGGTCAGCCAGTCATTCTGGGCCTGGATTTCTTCCAGGAAGATGAGATTAACCAGGCAGATGTCAGAGGCCTGGATGGGTGCTAATGAGGCCCCATCTCCACTTCTAGGAAATGGACTCAAGATAAAAACCAGCTTGAGAAGAGGGCGGGAGCTGTGAAGTTTGGAAAGCACCCCTCCCACCTTCACCAAGGCAGGGGTCCCACGGAGATGCTGTGCTGGTGGGAGGGTCAAGCACCCTCCCCCGGATGGTGACCATGACTGAAAGGATCATAGATACCCATCTCTAGCCCTCTGTGCTCCTCCCCACCTAGCCCCATGGACCCTCACTTCTCCTGACCTTGGACACTTCTGCCTTGCCCTCTGCCCAGTGGCCTCCCTCATCCTTCTGGACCTGCCCTGAATACCTCCCCTTCCAGGAAGCTGTCCCAGCCCACCCAGTGGGGTCTAGCACCCTAGTGTGTGTTCCTCACATATCTAAGCAGCTTGGGGGTGATTCAACTGTAGCTGCCCTCAAACCATCTAACCCCCACCCTGGGAGGGGAAGCTCAGGGCATTTCTGAGCCTGCTGACTTTGATCTGGCCAGGCCCACCCCACTTTTGGCCCTCACTTTGGCCTGGGCCCCCTTTATCTGAACCATCCTCCCCTGAGGCCAGTTGGTCCCCAGACTGGGCTCCCACCTTTCTCTGGCGCCTCCCCCTCCTGATCCCGCCCCCCCGATCCGCCCCCACCTGGCCTCTGCTGGACTTCTCTGAGCCGCTTCTCGCATTGGGCCTGGGCGCGGTGCAGCAGGAAGATCTGCTCCTCTTTGGTCATGACGTCATCTGCATCCACCTGCCAAGTCGAAGGTGAGACCGTCGGGGCAGGGCAGCAGCAGGTCCCACAACCATCCCAACTTCCCTGAGGGACTGATGCCCCCCTTCCAAAGGCCCTTACTCTGGGATGCTCCAAGGGGTACTGGCTGCCTTACCAGAAGAAAAAGGGGGGAGGGAGGTTGTCCCCTGCTGCCCGCTAGTAAACCCGAGTTGCAGCCACTATTCTCTGCCCAATCTGTTTCCCAGGGGGCATGAGAAGGGATGGGATGTCCCAGGATGGGTCCTCACAGGACCTGGCAGCCTTTGGGAACCTGGGTGGGAGTGACCGTGGATAGAGAATGCTGAGCTCAGGGAGAAAAAAAACAGTCCTGAATTCCTTCAAGTCCTAGCACACTGGGGGACCTTGGGAGTCACCAGTTTCCATCCTGACCCTCTCCCCAGTGAACAGTGAGGGCCTCAGCCCTCCCACCCTTGCATTCCGGAGGGAGACGGCGGAGGGAGTGCTGGCAGCGGTCCGGCTAGGCGGGGCACTCCGGTGCAGCCTGTGGGTGGAAGTCACCCCCATCCCCACATCCCACTGCCTCTGGAAGCTGCTTCCCTGCAAGCAGACCTCTTTCCAATAATGCAGTCAGGCCTTTGCTCCCGCTGTTCCGTCTGCCTGGACTTTCCACCCACAGGGCCTCACCAGCACTGCTTTAAGGAAAGGAACAGGAGCATCTTGGGGCCCGGGTGGGGTGTCACCCCAAGCCTCGGTTCCCGACTTAGGTTGGGAAGGAGTCAGAGGGTGAAGGCAGCATGCTGCCCTGGGAACAGCTCAGTGTGCCCAACCCAGGAGGGAGACCCCCAAGAGGTTAGTGCATTCCCTGAGACACCCCCCGGGACAAGGATATGTCCCCCAGGAACAGGGCTGTGTCCCCTCAGACATCCCAAGGCCAGCTGTGTCCCTTCAGTCTGAGTGGAGCTTTGCCGGGCGGGAGAACCAGCTGGAGGCAGGGGAGGAAGGAGGCGGGCGGGGGAAGGGGCGGCACCCGTGGGTGGGGGCTGG